AAAGAAAGAAAAAGACGTACTTTTTGTTACACAGAATACATTTGCCTTTTAAGAGTATATGGAACCACATAGGACAACCAATTTCAGCCCTTGCACCAATGTCGTCATCATTTCCACAACACAAGGCATATCTTTGGTTGGGCATTTAAAAACTAATTCTTCAAATTATATAAAAAAAATATTAACGTATTTAGACTTATTCTATGCACTGAAAAACGGGGCGATGCCTCCTGCTTAGAAATAAGTCTAATGACGTCGTTTCTACTGTGACGTCATAGCGTTCAGTTTACTAAAAGCAATTCATATTTATTTTGTGAACCGCAAATTCTGTTTTTGTTTTTAAATGAATAGAAAGATAAATAAATAAATAATCTACAGACGTTGATTTAATCGGATTAAAAAGAGGCCCATCAAAAGACTTCGGCGAAAATTATTAATTGCACGCACGTATAAGAATCTTGACAGTTGAAATTCAATGAAGCGTAAGAGAAAACGCCGCTGTCAAGGTGAAATTCTCCTCGCTAGCATTTCTGTTATGAATGAATTATTTAATAATATGGTTGGTATAAATGACCGTTATTATAGTCTATCCCATCTTGTAAGACACAAATTCGTATTTCATTCGCATTATTTTTAAGTGCGAAATTTGTACGAAACCAATATTTTGCGCGTGTTTCTGTAAAAGATACCTGATTGTCCAGTCTAAATTCAATGTAATTTGTTCAGTCATATTTAAAGGAGCTAAATCGCTAATATTTGGGACCTAGAAATTGACAATTATGTAATGTAATATGAATGTATATAAACTGATTTACATTCAATCGTTTCCGATTTTACTATAATTTCAAATCAGTTATATTCAGTGGACTGGCAGTCTCTAGCGTCTGGTTATTCCAGTCTACTCTGATAGTATTTATCGCGCATGCTCTCCAGATAAGAATATGGCGTTACCGTTTGAAAGAACTCGTGGAATATGTCTAGCCTCGTGAAGCGCATTATGGTACACGATTCGTGTACCAATGGTATAATAAAATGTTTATTTTGTCTTAAATATTGGATATCAGAAGCCCATCTTTTCCCGGTAAGATAACAACATCAATGTTGATTTAAATTGATAAATAATTCGTGTGTTCAATGTCGAAGAGTTTGAATGATATTGAGCTGGAGACTTAGCTACTTTAAAGTATTTTAAAAACTGATTTTGAACGAGTGCGTGTTAAACATCTTGCAATGAGTTGTCCAGAGTTGAATGCGCTTTATAATGAGTTGTATAATAGAGTATTATGATGGTAATAAATAACTGTGATAGCCTCCTTAAAACTGTCGTGATATATAGACTGTATCAAATATATATTTATTATAATACTATAATAACTAGATTAAAGCTACAATGACACACTATAATACATTATAATACAGTGACACACTATATGTTTATAAGGGGGGGGGGGGTGGCCGAATGGTTAGCACGTGTGTGCTGTATCATAAGGTCTGTCATTGAGTCAACTGGCGTGGTTTTGATTCCCCGGTTGTACGTGACAAGAAGTTGGGTCGCCTGTCCAAGCTTGTGGGTTTTTTCCGGGTCCTCCGGTTTCCTCCCACTGCTAAAGACCTCTACGCGCAACTGATTTATTGAAATAAAATTGAATCATATATTAGTCGCGAAATGACCTAGTTTGTGTCGAGTGGACGTTAAACCCTATTTCTCTCTCACTTCAACAAAACCAAAAAACGATGAGTCACGGTGGCTCAGTAAGTAAGACGTTGGCTCGCTTACCTACGTGTTTGATGCCTGTGTTAGTCCTGGGGGTACAGGACAGATGGCCTGGCAAGGGACAGTGTACAGTCATCGAGAAGGGACGGAAATCGGAGGTCCCGTGTACACATTGGCGTGCACGTACAAGATCTCTTGGCAGGTGGAATTCGATATAAGAGTAGACGTAGCTCCGCTGTCAGGACATTTTCCTCATAGAACACTGTATGACGTATGCCCGTCTTCATTAACCCAGTCTATGGCAAACCAAAGCGGAATTAATTGCAATACCGTTTTTCTGTATGGAAAGAGAAAAAATCGAGTATATAACAATTTTTTCATCACCTTCCAAGCATTTTTTTCTGTACAAAACGACGTATATCAATAAAGATTATTTTTTTCCACTGCTGCTTTTGTATTTTGTTATAGTCAAGTCAATTATACTGTTCACAGAAATATTTTATCACTATATTCGGTTTTTATAAACAATTCAACAAAATTATTTTTCACATGTCAAGACAAAAAAAATACACATGTCAAGGCGAAAAAATTCATATGTCAACACTAAAAAATGCACATGTCAAGATAGAAAAATTCACATGTCAAGACGAAAAAAGAAAAAAAAATCATATATCACGAGCACGTGACCCTTCAAGAGCACGTGACCACAAAAACCGATGACATAATCAACTTTGTGGGAAGAAAAAAATGGCGGGATCGTCAGACGATAAGTTGTTCGTTTCGTCAAATTTTGACGATATACTTAGTGATCTTCGGCATAAGAGACGTTGTTGACGAAACGAACAACTTATCGTCTGACGGTCCCGCCATTTTTTTCTTCCCACAAAGTTGATGTCATCGGTTTTTATGTCTTTATGAGTTCCTCTTCGTTACGCAACGTTCACCAGAGGAGGACCTGTGAGTTATAAATGACTTTACAATATTTCACAATGACATGAGTACAATGTATATATTTTAACAATGTACGTTCAAGGTAATCTACCTGTGCATAGAAATAATTTGAACAGGTACAATGACGTTATTAGCATTCACCTGTAATCTATATCCAGTTTAGATTTAATCCCTATGAATACACAAAAAACACAGTCATGTCGGCGTATACTTCAAAAGGCCCACGTACGTTTATCTTCAATGTATAGCAGGCTAATAAGGAGTTCCGAGAAATACTGTAGTTACTATGCAATTAAAATATTCATAAGGGCACGATTCTCTCATAAAAATTCCAGCAAATTTGGGAATAAACACACGACAAACTAAAATGGAAAAAAGCTGGCTAATAAGGAGAAATATCTCACAATATACTGTAGTTACTATGTAATTAAAATATTCATAACAATAAATGCACGATTCTCTCAGGAAAAGTCTCTCTCAATCCCAGCAAATTTGGGAATAAACACACGACAAGTGGAAACAATTGGGCTTAAGGACCAACGGAACCGTGAAGACGGACCAATGCCATGCATTGTGCGACGAGGGACATTTTGTCCGGACAGTGGCGATTCTGCCTTCTCCTCACCGAATTCCAACGATCAAACGTTCTTTTACGTGCAAGCCAACGAGTAAAGGCAAAGGGGGCCTCGAGTTTTCGTCCTATCCGAACGACTAGTCCACTGACAAGGGGAACCACACTGATAAATCCCGAGGATAGCCTGTCTTCATTAGCCCAGTCGGTGCAGAAAAGAAGGACGTTAAACCCCATTTCATTTAAATTCATTCCTCGAGGATCTTTCTCGGTCAACACCGGGATCGTCCATTTTGTATACAAGTACTATCTCACCTATTTTTAGCCGGGGTGTGGATGGCCGAATAGTTAGCACGTGCTCGCTGTATCATAAGGCCTGTTGTCATTGAATCAACTGTCGTGGTTTCGAATCCCGGTTGTACGTTACAAGGAGTAAGGTTGCCTGTCCAGCCTCGTGGGTTTTCTCCGGGTCTTCCGGTTTCCTTCCACTGCTAAAAACCCCTCCGCGCAAGAGAATTATTTAAATAAAATTAAACCATATGTTAGTCCCGAAATTGCCTAGTCTGTGTCGAGTGGAGGTTAAACCCCATTTCTCTCTCTCTATTTTTAGCCTAGAAGGCCATGCCATTTGTCGGGTTATGTGTTTTTAATACACCTATAAGTAAGTATGTGGGGACTATAGAATACAATAACCTATTATCCTACCTGTAGACTAGTATATACGTGTATAACAATATACTCTGTTATACATGTAAAAAGGTATATCGCTTTATAATAGTCTCTAACCATATATCACGTAGTCCATTTATTGCGCTCAGGCGAAACAGTCGACTAATTGATATACTGGACTGAGAGAGAGAGAGAGAGGGGGGGGGGCTGACGTCCACTTGACACAAATTGGGTCATTTCGGGACATTTGATTCAATTTTATTTCACTAATTCGCTTGTGCGTAGGGGTCTTTAGCAGTGGGAGGAAACCGGAGGACTCTGAGAAAACCCACGAGGTTGGACAGGTGACCCTACCCCTTGTCACGTACAACAGGGGAATCAAAACCACCCCAGTTGACTCAATGACAGACCTTATATTACAGTCCCGGACAAAACCCACGAGGTTAGACAGGTGACCCTACTCCTTGTCACGTACAACCGGGGAATCGAAACCACACCACTTTACCCAATAACAGATCTTATGGTCCAACGCGCCACCCAACCCTCCGAGACGAAATAATAATAATAATAATGACGATTTATAGAGATAAAGGTATAGGCTATATTCTAACAAAGGGATATTATGAAATTTGTCTACTCAACAAAAAGCGTCTTGTCGGTATATTTGCTTTTTAACTGTTTTGACCCTAATTGTTCGCCATAAAACAAGACAATGTTTGCTAAGTCGTATTTAAAAACCTTTACGAGTGAGAAGTGATGGTTATTTAAATCATAAACTATTAGTATTATCATATTATCATATTATCGACTTACTAAATCAACATATACACGCCCCATAAATTTACACATATAATAGTCTATTGGTTCCCTATTCTATTTCAATATATTATATAGCGTAAATAGTGCTCATAATTTGATTTAATGCCCAAGCAAACACACGTCGACTGATAGTAACTAACCACATAGCGTCCCGTTGCTAACGAATAAAATTCATACGAAACCACACAAAAAAACACTAAACGAAATTAAAACAGTTAATGTCTTGTGCGACAAAAAACTTATTGAATTAATTGTAGGAAATGATAAGCTTCTTACCTGGACATCTTGAAGTTTTGCAACGCGTAATGTACGTGTGTATGTGTGTATTCGTGGTTACCTCCGGTTTAAAAAGCTATATAATGTTAGTTCGTATTACTCGTCGAACGAGTTTTAGATTAGAGGCTTTATACTCTCTATGCCAACTGGTTGTATCGATGTGATCTATGGATACGTGAATGATAAGAGTAGGCCACGTCTGACACGATGACTGACAAGATTAGGCTTTTTGACGTGTTGTGAACCTATCAATTATTAAATAACTTAAAGATGGCTTCCCACGTGCAAACTGGTTAGTGCTAAATGATAAGGCCAGCTCAATTTTTCGTCATAGGTCACGAGATGTAAACAGGGACAGCGCTAATCCCAACCCTAACCCTAACCCTGGACCTAGCCCCCAATGCTTACCCTAACCTTAACCCAGAATCTCGCCAATAATCACGTTCTCTAACCTTATTTACATCTCAGCGACCATGACAAAAATTGAGCTGGCCTTAACAAATAGATTTAGTCCGTACAAACTGGGTGATTTAATGACAAATTTCCACTTAAATCATATCCAAACTAATTTTTCTATCAAAAGTTGACATCAAATCTCCGTCAAAACTTTTTATCTTTTAATCTTCAGTAACTACCCAAAGCCGTAAGAAGACTATTTGAAGTGGCCTTGTTTGTCACGTGACTTGAATGAGGGGGTCATTTTTAGCCCATATTTGCAGTTAATCCCACCACACTTACCATAAATACCGAATCAAACAAATTTTCCCAGTAAGATTGGGTGTCTATACGTTCTATATATACCAATATGCCATACTTTTATTGGAAATAACTACCTGATAAATACTTTTGTGGGAATGTATCTTTAAACAGCCGTAGACAATTTAAAGGAGCAAACTACACATTGAATCTCTAATAGGAAATCTGTCAAAATGCACAGTGACAGTGTATACTTTCTTTTAAACATTAATATATATAGTTCAGTATTGATATCCTCTGCAACTGAAATAAACAACCCATCGCACCTATTGAGTCAAGGGAGGGGGGGGGCGAATGGTTAGCGCGTGCGCGTTGTATCGTAAGGTCTGTCATTGAGTCATCCGACGTGGTCTCGATTCCCCGGTTGTACGTGGCAAGGAGTAGGATCGCCTGTCCAACTTCGTCTGTTTTCTCCGGCGCAAGCGAATTATTGAAATAAAATTGAACCATCGGTTATTCCCGAAATGACCTAGTTTGTGTCGAGTGGACGTTAAACCCCATCTCTCAAATGAAAGGCTAAGTGGGTAAGACGCTGGCTCGCCAGTCTGGAGGTTGGGTGTTCGATCTCAGCATAGGCCGAGCATGTTCATCCAGATTTTCCAGTGTGGTTCCCCCTTGTCAGTGATGCAGGACGGAGGGCCTGTCAAGGACAGCTGTCTAGTCGTTCGGATGGGACAAAAACCCGAGGTCCCGTGTACACATTGGCGTGCACGTAAAAAATCCCTTGACAGTTGGAATTTGATATAAGAGTAGGCCGTAGTGCCGCTGTCCGGGAAAAATTTACCTCTTAGCACACTGTATGGCGTATGTCCATCTTCATTATCCCAGTTCGGAGCAGAACAGTAGGACGTTAAACTCCATTTCATTTCATTTCCAAGACTGTATCATTTTGATTCACTAAAATATATATCTGGGAAAGCTGCTTTAAAAATATTTTGATTCACTAACATATATATATCTTGGACTGCTGCTTCCAGTGAGACCGTCACATAGATCAATCCATTTAAACGTCACACATATTTTTTACACCGAATAAAATGGCTGACTTAATGAATGACGTCTGAACGACGACTGTGAGTAGACATAAAGTGTTATTGTGATATCCCACACCACCGTCATAGATCAATCCTTTTAAAAATCATATATATTTATTAGACCGAATAAAGTGGCTGACTTATACAGGTATAAAGGAGAGAGAGAGAGAGAGAGAGAGAGAGAGAGGGTGGAGTTTAAAGTCCACTCGACACAAACTAGGTAATTCCGGGACTAACATACTAGCTTATGGGTCTTTAGCAGTGGGAGGAAACCGCGAAGGGCCCCGAGAAAACCCATGAGATTGGACAGGCGATCCTACCCCTTGTCGCGTAGAACCGGGGAATCGAAACCACGCCAGTTGACTCCATGACAGACCTTATGATTCAACGCGCACGCGCTAACCATTCGCCCTCCACCTCCCGGAGGTATAATGGTAGTCAGTTATAGATATATGGATGAGACAAGAACAAGTTAGGCTCTGCCTGGAACAACCATGTGGTTTCCAGCGAGCTCCATCAACATGATGTTAAAGTAGCTAAGTCTCTAACTCAATATCATCAAAAATCTTTGACATTGAAAACACGAATTATTTGTCAATTCAAATCAACATTGGTCTTGTGATCTTACAGGGAAAATATGGGCTTCTGATATCCAATATTCAAGATAAAATAAACATTTTACCATTGGTACACGAATCAAGTACCACAATGCGTTTCAGCGCCATTTGGAACAAGGGACTCAAAGAACAGGGCTAGACATATTCCACAAGTCATGTCAAATGGTGACGCTATATTCTTATCTGGAGAGCATGCGCAATAAATACCATCGGTGTAGACTGGAAAAACCGGACGCTAAAGATTGCCATTCACATGAGACTTCTGACGTATTTCGCCGAACATAACTGATTAGAAATTACAGAAAATACAGAAACGATTGAATGTAAATCAGTTTATATACATTCATATTACATTATTATATGCGTTGCGACCCATTTTTGTCAATTTCTAGATCCCAAATATTAGCGATTTAGCTCCTTTAACAACGTTAAATTCCGGTGACAAGCACAAATTGGTAGCATACCATTATTTTTTACCGTCTAGGTACCCCCTCCTCCTCCCCAATTTGTAGTCTCTCTCTCTCCTCTCCCCGGGTCCCCCCACTGCTAAAGCCCCGTTATGCGCAAGCGATTTATTGAAATATAATTGAACCATATGTTAGTCCCGAAATGCCCCCCCACCCCCCGTGCCCTCCCTCTCTTTGGATTTACATTTATTTTCTGACAGCTTTTGGTGAATATTCATGATTTAGAGGCGACAGGAGAACAGAAGATAACGTTTATAGTAATAATATGCTACTTCAAGTTAGTGTATCTTAAATTTTCAGTCGGCTGTCCAACATCGTGGGTTTTTTCTGGATCCCCCGGTTTTCTCCTACTGCTGAAGACCCCTAAGCGTAGGCGCATTATTGAAATAAAATTGAACCATTTGTCAATCCGAAATGAGCTAGTTTGTGGCAGTGGACGTTAAATCCAATTTTCTCCCCCTGCCTCTCTTAAATTTTTAGAGGTCAACCACATTCATAGGAGCAAAGACATAACAAGTTGTTGCTCTGTCTGTAGTGAAAAACGTTTAGCCCAACGAAACTTTGGTAAAAAGTTGGGGCCGCGCAGAGGCTAGAATTACTGGTGTTCTGTCCCCAATTAACCGGCTCACAGTGATAGCAGTATTGTGCTATCTGGATTCAGACTTGTTTCTTATGATTTCATGTTGTTCGTCTCTTGTAATTTTTGGATTAGGAGCTTGTAAAAAAAGCAATATATATATAACATATCATTTGTTCTTGTTGTTCGGGGCGACGCTCTTCGAAGAAAGCCTAAGGCTCCGGCAAATCAATTGCCATCGACATGAAATTTCGTATGCTTGGTCCTGTGGCCATTGGGCATTGATTCCGATTTTGATATGACGTCACAGCGCCAATAAGGATGCGATGACGTCATAGTCAGTTCCTGGTCCGGGATTCAATGTTAATACACGACACAAATATTCTATATAGAATAAAACTACTGTTTATTACTGAGGTATGTGTCTACTAGGGTTATCTACCCTTTTAACAAACTATAATACATTTATATACATACAAATAACAAAAATAACAACGTAACTACGACCAATCAGGGACATGTACCACTAATTAAAGATACATTATATAAAGATACATTTAGATAAAGAACTGGCCATTCTAGCTATAATGGTTCAAAAATAGAAAATTCAAAATGTATGACGTTGGCGCAGAAAAGTATGACGTTGGTGCATAAAAGTATGACGTTGCTGCAGAAGAGTATGACCTTAAACCCTGGTTCTGTAGTTAACAATTACTCAGTGACCGACGCTCTGTGAAACTTAACTTGTTTATAATGTATTAGAAAGTATATGATTTGATGTTTCCTGATCATTCCAAATATACCATCCGATCACAAGAGGGCCGAACAGGTGCCTCAGATATACCCTGCTTGATTTGTTGATTGACCACACCGTCGTATAGTCTGGTCGTTAAATATGGATGATTTGTTGAAGGAACATGCCGTCGTTCAATCTGGTTGTTTTTTCTAGGGAACAGATTGTTTCTATGTCTGGTTGATTTGTCAGTTATATCTAAATGTTTTGTCCGTTATGCTTTATTTTCTGAAGGTTGAATACACCATATACCTGAAACAAACATGAAACGAATTCATTAATGGTTTATTAAGTACACCTGTTTATTACTTGATCGTTTGTTGTTTTTTATTGCAAGTAGGACAACATAAACACAATTAAAACACCTAATAAATAGTTTGCACTTATGGTCCGAACAAGCAGGTCTGGTGCTTCAATTTCGCGAGGCTTAAACTGGCAATACAGAAACACATTTGACCTTATGATCCGAACCAAGCAGACCCGGTGTGATCAATCTGATTAAAATACAGATCTATATTTCGTTTCGTTCTTTTATACTTTCGATGATCTACACTACATGAAGATCTGACCGGTTGTAGCAATAGGTCGCGTCAGAGGTCATACGAGCAGCTTTTGACCCTATAACGTCAAACATTTGATTAACCAATCAGCATTGATGTTACTAGTGCATTACCCACAATTCCGTGCAAAACACGCCTACAGCTATTCCCCCTCACATCCTTCAGAACACGTCAATGATAACAACTCTTCCAGATCCTAGTGTAGTAAAGATAAGTAAAACGAAATTTTGAACTATGAAAACGAAAC